CCTAAATGATTAAGATGGAAATTGCTAAATAATCTTTCTATAGCTTTACAGAACTGAGAACATCTGGTGACCTTCAGATAACATTGGAATGTGTAACACCCTTCATATTCTTTAATTCCGAACATCAACTAACACCGAGCATGTAAAGGGCTGTGATATTTAACTTGTAACTTTGTAACTAGCCTCAGACACAGGCCCTGGATGACAAAGACCTCTCTCAGCACGTAGCCTTCCTGCCCAACCCCCCACCTTCCCTCTCTACAAAAGCCTTATGCATTCCCTGAGTTTCTCAAGATGGAAAGTGGTGGATGATAGCTTCTCTATCTTTTCAGAGTGAGCATTGAATCAGCCTGCTTTCCTTCCCAACAATTCTCATCTCCCCAGTATTGCCTTTCAAGTGGTAAGCAGCTAGACTTGGGTCTGTAACAAAGCCAGTCCTAGTAGGGAGAATGTAGCAGATGGTATTTTCCAAAGATGGATACTTCAGTATGTTGCTCAACCTACATGTTGTTCTTATGATATAACACTGACACTCCTCCAACAAGAGGTGAGGTTTGTGTTCCCTTTTCCTTCAAATGCGTGGGTCTTCAGGTCTGCTTTGATCACAAGTGTATGGTTGGTTCTAAAAGGCAATCCAACTTCTGCCTGGCTCTTTCTCTTGGGACTTATGGCTTGAGTCTGGAGGCTCTGTCAGAAGTCCAGCAACCCTGAAGTTGCCAATCTGAAAGACCACAGAAAGGTAGAGAGACTTCCAAGGTGCTTTTCAGGCCCCAGTAGCTATTTCAGGCCCCAGTTGTTTAGGTATTTCCAGTACAAGTACCAGACATGTGCATGAGCAAGCTATCTGATGATCCCAACTCTTGACCTTTGAGCCATTGCAGCCTCAGTGATGGAACAGAAATTAATCTAATCTCTGCCCAGACTGCTTATTTGTGGGAGGTACACATATTTTGTTTTAAGACACTAAATTTGGAGATGGTTTGTTGTGTAGCCATAGTAATTTAACGATGATGGGGGTGGGGGGAGGAGAAGAAACGAGACAAGGAGAAGAAAAATCAGAGAAGGGAGATATATCTGGGCAGTTTTGAAATTTCATTTAGAGTGGTAAAGGAAGGCTTAATAGAGAAGGCAACTTTTGAAGAAAGAACTGAAGGAAGAGAGGAAGATGGCCTTGTGGATCATTCCAGGCACACAGAATATGCTTAATATGTTCCAGGAATAGGTAGGCCAATGTGGTGGGAGAGGGGAGAAGAAGCTAGTAGGAGACAAGGTCTAAAAGCTAATGAAGAGTGAGATCATAGGTCTCTGTGAGGACTTAGGTCTTGACTCTAAGTGGGTTTTGATGCTGGTGTGACATATTTCTGTTTTAATCAGATCACATTTTTGCATTGAGATTCCTAGAAGTGAAATTTTCTGTCAAGAGATGTGTAGTCTTGGCTTGTCTTTGTTGGTAGTCCAAGATTATATTACTGCCTGCATTCATTTCCTGGGCTGCAGTAAACTGGGTGGCTTAAAACAGTAGACATTTATTCAGTCACAGTTTTGGGGGCTAGAAAATCGACTGTGCTGGCAGGAGCACAGTCCCTCTGCAACCCGTGGAGGAGAATGCTTCCTTGACCCTTCTTACCTGCTGATGGAGGTTTTTGTCTTTGACCTTGGTTGCCTGCAGCTTTATCACTGGAATCCTGCTCCTGTTACCACACACTGTTCTCTCTGTGTTTCTTTACCTCCACATGACTGCCTCTTTGTAAGGACACTTGTCATATTGCCCATCCTCATTCACCATGACCTCATCTCAGTCTCACTAATGATCCAGTTCCAAATATGGTCATGTTCTGAAGTACTAGGGATTAGGGTTTAAACCTGTATTTTACAACTCAACCTATCACACTACCATTTTAAGAACCTCAGGACTACTCCTCAGGGGAAGACATTCCGAATTTTGTAAGTTCTCAGAATAATGCCTTATGTAGTTAGCCTTCCCATTCTCCATCCCTGCCCATTTCCTATGCCTTGGGGTTTATTCTGTGTGAGTACATATAAGTCAACTTGATCCCTTGTTATTATGACATAGTGGTTTCATAATATCGATGTCCTCTAATTTAAACATTTTCCAGTGAGTAAACATTAAGGCTGTTTTCAATTCTGTCTTAGCTACTACAAATGTAATACTTGGTGAAATGGTTATTTTCCTAATGGTTAAAACAGCTCCTTCGTGGGAAGATATTATTTTTGTTTAAAAAGATATTGCTGGGTGGGCCTCAAGCTAGAGTCAGAGTCAACTGTGCATGATAAATGGGAGACAAGGAGGAATGATATTGGACTCTCTGAGAGCTGGACTCAGATAAGAGGTGAAGCACTTTGAAAGGGACATGGCCAAGGGGCTATCTCTTGAGTTAAGAGGTGCACACTGAATGGATATAAACTCAGTCTTCTTTCTTCCCTCTGTAATACTGGAAAGTACTGTATTGCTCAGGATCCTTTCAGTGAGGGAAGAATTCCTTTCAGAATTCACAAAGTGATGCTGAATTTTATGTCAGTATTAGTGAGATGGGAGTGATGTATACCTGGATTCCACATGTGATACGAAAATGGACATCCTTGTGCATTTATCATTAAGCTCATGGTAGAGTGAGCTAGAAAGGGCAGGTTCTTTTTTTTTATTTCTGGGTACTGGGGATTGAGCTCAGGGGCACTCGACCACTGAGCACATCCCTAGCCATATTTTGTATTTTATTTAGAGACAGGGTCTCACTGAATTACTAGTGAAACTTGTCCAATAATAAGGGCCATTGTACTGCTGCTTACCCAGGTAAAGAGGAGTACTATCTTGATACAGCCAGGGCCTGCCAGAATGGGGAGGGCAAAGTCTGAATGTTATGAGGTACTGGCATTTAGTTTAATGTGGGGCTTTAGCAAGGTGGTGTGGTGAGTATTGTGTAAGGATCATAATACAGAAGTTTGAGATTAGTGAGCACAGTATAGCCAGGGTTTTGAAGTGAGGGATCCAGGGAGACTTAGGAGTAGCAGTCATTTGATGCTATCTATTGAAAAGCTGAGCATTTGTAAATGGGTTTTTTACATTTATCTTACTAGACAAGAGTTTCTTGGAATAGTAAAGTCACACTGAAAAGGACAATGGAATTTTTTTAATATTTATTTTTTAGGTGTAGATGGACACAACACAATGCCTTTATTTATTTATTTATTTATTTATTTATGTGGTGCTGAGGATCGAACCTGGGTCCCACCTGTGCAAGGAAGCCACAATCCCAGCCCGACATTGGAATTTTAATGTCACGCTAGTGAAGATGATAAACTACATGGGTGTAGATGGTTTCAGTTCTCAGACCTACTTTTTGAGATCTTTCCCTTTAGATTCTGGGAAAAGGCTCTTGTAGAAAGGTGTTACCTGTCCCCAAGCAAATTATAACTCAGTTATAATGTTGTCTCCATCCTTCATAAGAGGAATTGCCATCCTTCTTCTTCTCATTCTGAAGGGGGAGCCTCATTTCTTTAAGAAATTGAGTGGTGTTTATTTGATTGATTAGAAACTGAGATGTCTATCAGACTGCATGTTACTAGTGTGCAGTGGTGCCTGCTTGTATTTAAGCATGGTATCTAGTTGGAAACCAGACTTCATACTTTTGGTGTCTTGTCTTGCACACAGGTGTGTGGTCAGGCTTCTCTTACTGCCTTGCACTGAACATGACCTAGAGAGGACCCCTATCTAAGACTAGCCATATTCACACACTCTTTGCTCCAGCTTCTTGTGTATGTGGTTAGCTGGTTCAGTAGACTCTAATCCATGTTTTTGCCTAGGCATTTAAATTCAGAAGCAGGAAAGGGAATTTCCCCCAAAATGTCTGTGTTTCAGCATCACTTAGCAGGATCCTATGTTTGCGAGTGTTGAGCTTATGCTGGATATCTATCTATCTATCTATCTATCTATCTATCTATCTATCTATCTATCTTACTTCATATTCAATCCATCACTCTAGAACCCTTTCCATTCTTTTCCACACTGCTTGGTGCATGGGAAGTTGAACAGTATGGTCTACACCAGTTTTTTCCTTTGTTCCCCCGTTTAGCTAATGGGAAGCACTGGTCAGAGATCAAAGAGGGGGAAAGAGTGACGCTGGGGTGTCCATTCCCCCAGTTTCCTTCTTCATGGTCTTTGGTGACTACATCCCCTAGCCAATGGCACAGTTCCTGTCATGTGGCACTCTCCAAATAGGTCTCTTTATCCTGGATTCTGGTAACTGTCCTCTTGTGTCTACAGACCTTTGGGTAGAAAGAGCTATAACTAGCCCTGAGATATTACACTATTGCTTGTGATTTACCTATACTTTCCTCACACTTTTGTAAATAGTCCCCTTTTATTAGATTCTACTAAAATCATCCAACATGTGGGTGCCATCTCTCACCTATTGGGTCCTGACCAATAGAGGGCTTTTCTGAGTTGTCAGTATAGCTGATGATTTGTTTCCCATTTGGTTGTAGTCAGGTGATGCCTAGCAATGTTTATTGAATGAATGCATGACTAAGCGAGCTAGTGGTGGGATCTGAGCTCCAACCCCTTTTCTCCAAATTTCAGTATACTTTGAGAATTCTCATATAAAATACAGATGCTTAGTGGATTGTGAAAAAAAATATACCAGCCTAAGTTCTGTGACTTAAGTTTCTAGGGACGACTTTACCACTTGCGTTTGCCTGAGTGACTCATGTTCAGGTATCTTCCTTTTCAGAGGGACAATGTATAATAATATGAAGAGTATATGAAATACACAGAAATGACAAAGATATGATGCCCACTAAATAATGAGTAGGATGGTTTCTTCAATTCAGGAATAAATAAAAAATTCAGACCACAAAATAAGAGATGAACGTTGAAAAATTTCACTTATAGTTTATGGTTTGAAAGGAATCATACTGAAGAGACTCAGTTATAGCGATAAGTTTTGATTTTATAAAGTTTATGTGACCTTTATTATAATTAATATTGTATTAAGCATCATAATATTATTACATATACGAGGTAAATTGGATATAGCTACCTTGTAATTATACCTATTGTTACTATCAGTTTCACAAATGTAGGCTGAAGAGTGGTTCATGACATTTATTACAATTAAATTTCCACTGTGCACATGTTAGAGGAACTTCTTCCAATTGTGAGATGTACCCTGTGACTTGCATGTCTCTGGAAGTGCTCTAGTTATCCCTCTGGGAAGATGCTTTCATGGATAGAGCTTGAAGAAATACTGGACAGAACATCCCAAGATCCCTTACCATGGCCAGTCCTAAGGGAGTTACTAGTTGTTTATAAATTTGTCAAAATTATATTTCCTTAATGCGAGAAATTCCATGATCCTCCTCCCTGGATTTCCTAGCAGGAGAGAGGTCCAGATTGATTTGTCATAGTATACTTCCTCTTTCCGCAGAGCTGCCCCTTTGATGATCTCCAGGGCACAGTCCTCCTTTGGAGCTGCGTCTGCAATGAATATCCCAGAAGTTGCCTGCATGGCTGTTTCTGTAGAATGACAAAGGAAGAGTGGGGTTATCCAAGACTAGTAGAGGCTATATGATTGAAGAACTGCAGGCAGCAATAGCTTAGCTTCCAGGGGCTATTTGCCAGTGCCTGAACCAAGAGCTGGGTATGTTTAGAATCTGCTGGTCCTAGAGAGAACGTGGTTCTAATAGAGGCTTTGCCTCCCTGGATAGAGATTTGTGGGGTAGTTAGAGGTGATCAGTTGGAGTGCTCCTGTCTCAGGTGTTTTGGTTGGAGTGGGGGATTAATACAGGGAGCACAGAATAAGGACAGAAGTCACATGATGACCCAGCAGCTAACAGGAAGTATCAGTGAGTAAAAAGAGAGCTATAGAATGATGGCTTACTGACATGTCAAAGGAAAGATACAGCCCAGATGTTTTCTCCTTTCTTAGCATTACCCACTCTCACTGAGAAGAAATGCTACTGCTACTTTCTCTCTCCTTCCAAGTTTTCATGTCATCCTCATATAGCTTGCCTGTCTCGCCTCCTTTATTGTTTGACTGTGTGCCTCTGTCTCTCCTGTTCTAGAACTGCTACTCAATTACTCTTTAAATACAAATTCCTTTTAACATCTGATGCACATTTTGGATAAACTTGCATTTGGACTTAGAGAAAACTTGTAAAAAATTGTACCAAGTGTCCCCTTATATACCACATCCTACTTACCCTAATTGTCACATTATGCATGACTATTGTGCAATGACCAAGAATAAATATAATAAAATTAACTAAGTCACAGAACTTATTTTTTCCTAATGTCTTTTTTTGTGTTCTAGGATTATATCCAGGATTTTACCTAGTAGAAATTTCTTCTTGTTTTTTTTTTTCTCCAATCTATGACAGTTCTTCAGTCTTTCCTTGTCTCTCATGACTCTGTTACTTTTGAACAGTATTGATGAGTTGCTTTGAGGAATGGCCCTCAATTTGAGTTTGTCCACTGTTCTGATTTGGGTGAGGTTATACATTCTTGGCAAGAATACTACAAAAATGATATTGTGTATGTTTCAGGACTAGTAGATACTAAGGGCTTATGTCATCAGCATGTCTTATTACTGTTTATATTATTAAGAGAAACAGTCATATAAAAGGTAAGCTGGTGCTGGGCATGGTGGCTCACATGTATATCTCAGCAGCTTGAGAGGCTGAGGCAGGAGGATCATGAATTCAAAGCCAGCCTCAGCAAAAGTGAGGCACTAAGCAACTCAGTGAGACCTTGTCTCTAAATAAAATACAAAATAGGGCTAGGGATGTGGCACAGTGGTTGAGTGCCCCTGAGTTCAATCCCTGGTAACCTGCCCCCCCCCCCCAAAAAAAAAAAAAGTAAGCTTGGTGTGATGGCACAGGCCTGAGATCCTAGCTACACTGGAGGCTGAAGCAGGAGGATCACAAGTTCAAGGCCAGCCTGGAAGACTTTGAGACCTTGTCTCAAAATAATAATGTAAAACAGGACTTAAGATATAGTTCAGTGGTAGAGTATCTTCCTACCAATCACAAAGCCCTGGGTTCCATTCCTAGTACCAAGAAAAAAAATATATATAATGGCCATTGAGAGTCCATGAAGGCATAAGATATTCAGGGAAGGATAAGGTGATGAATGTGGTGTCACTCAATAAACTTGGTGGTCAGAATGGAAAGGAGGGTCAGAGAGTGTAGAGACTCCACAAGTGACAGAAGGCTTCATTAAATGAGAGTACTCTGTGCTTTGTCAGTCACTGCTTCTTGTTGCATTACTCATGTGTCAGGGACTATAGTACCTCCCATTACCACCCTTGACCCACAGTGGTAAGGCAGATAGTCCAACTATTGATTATTTATTCCAGTACTTTAACTTTACCTGTGTTTATGAGGCCAAGGATACACAGAGTGATTGACACATTGACCTTGGTCACTAAATATTCTTTCCTAAGGGAAGAGAAGAACCCGTCCAGAGCAAACTTGCTTGCAGAATAAGGAGCAATCAGAGGATGAGCTGTTTTTCCTAAGTGATAGATTAAAGAAATGGGTTAATAAGGCAATTCACTTCAGTTTTGGACAGAGCTCATTTTGATTTTTGGTAGGCTTTGTAATCCCTGTGGTTCTCTTACCTCTTTGAGTTTTCTTTATCACTAAACCCTAAGTTATCCTGCTGTGTTGAATTCTGAGGGGAAAAACATCAGGGCATTAAAGGGGTAAGGTGTGGGGTGTGCTGTAAGATGGAGTTCATTGAAGAGGGATTGGTTAGATTTTTTTAAGGGTGATAAATAAACTAGGTTACAGAAGAGCTATGCAATCCCACGGCTGCTAACTAACTCTTCCACCTCTGACCCGGGTGCTGGAGATTGAAGAGCTCTCTGACAACTCGGTGACCTGTCACTGATAGTAGGAAAGTTATGTTTTACTTTTTATGTGAACAGTATAATAAATCCTTGCCTTTGGTTTTTACATGCACCTCCTGCCCTCTTTTAAAAAAAATTATTATCCTGATTCTCACTACAGTTTGGGGGAGTATTTATGAACATAAACCCCACAGGATAGCCTATTCTTTATACTCTTTCCAAGAGGAGAGAGTAGCCTGATACCAAAACCAGGCAGAGACACATCAAGGAAAGAAAATTTTAGACCAATATCCCTGATGAACATAGATGCAAAAATTCTCAATAAATTTCTGGCCACTTGCATACAAAAACATATTAAAAAAATTGTGCACCATGATCAAGTGGAGTTAATTCCAGGGATACAAGGTTGGTTCAATATACAGAAATCAATAAATAATTCATTACATTAATAGACTTAAAGACAAGAATCATATGACTATATCAATTGATGCAGAGAAAGCATTTGACAAAATATAGCATGTTTTCATGTTCAAAACACTAGAAAAGCTAGGGGTAGTAGGAACATACCTCAATGATGTAAAAGCTATCTATGCTAAACCCAAGGCCAACATCATTCTAAATGGAGAAAAATTGGAAGCATTTCCTCTAAAAACTGGAACAAGACAGAGATTCCCTATTTTTCACCACTTCTATTCAACATAGTCCTTGAAACTCTATCCAGAGCAATTAGGCAGACGAAAGAAATTAAAGGGATACAAATAGAAAAGAACTCAAACTATCATTGTTTGCTGATGAAATGATTCTATACTTAGAGGATCCAAAAAACTCCACCAGAAAACTTCTAGAATTAATTAATGAATTCAACAAAGTAGCAGGATATAAAATCAAAACCCATAAAACAAATGCATTTCTATTCATTTGTGATGAATCCTCTGAAAGAGAAATTAGGAAAACTACCCCATTCACAATAGCCTCCAAACAAGCAAACAAACAAACAAACTTGGGAATCAACTTAACAAAAGAAGTGAAAGACCTCTACAATGAAAACTACAGAACACTAAAGAAAGAAATTGAAGAAGACCTTAGAAGATGGAAAGATCTCCCACGGTCTTGGATAAGCAAAATTAACATTGTAGAAATGGCCATACTACCCAAAGCACTATACAGATTCAATGCGATTCCAATTAAAATGCCATTGTAATTCCTTATAGAAATAGAAAAAGCAATCATGAAATTCATTTGGAAAAATAAGAGACCCAGAATAACCACAGTAATCTTTAGCAAAAAGAGTGAAGCAGGAGGTATCACAATATCATCAGAATACCTCAAACTATAGTAACAAAAACAGCATGGTACTGGTACAAAAATAGACATGTAGACCATTGGTACAGAATAGAAGACACAGACAAACCCACAAAGATACAGTTATCTCATATTAGACAAAGGCACCAAAAACATATATTGGAGAAAAGATAGCCTCTTTAACAAATAGTACTGGGAGAACTAGAAATCTATATGCAGCAAAATGAAAATAAATCCCTATCTCTCACCAGGCGCAGAACTCAATTCAGAGTGGATCAAGGACCTAGGAATTAGTCCAGAGACCCTGTGCCTAAAAGAGGAAAAAGTAGGACCAAACCAAATCTTTATCACGTTGGATTGGGCCCTGACTTCCTTAACAAGACTCCTAAAGCACAAGAAATAAAATCAAGAATTAATAAATGGGATGGACTCAAACTAAAAATCTTCTTCTCAGCAAAAGAAACAAATAATGTGTTGAAGAGAGAGCCTACATTTTGGTAGAAAATTTTTGCCATACACATGTCAGATAGAGCACTAATCTCCAGGATATATAAAGGACTCAAAAAACTTAACACACACACACACACAAACAACAACAACAACAACAACAAACAATCCAATCAATAAATGGGCTAAAGAGCTGAACAGATACTTCTCAGAAGAAGATATATATTCAATCAAGAAATATATGAAAAAAATGTTCAACATCTCTAGTAATTAGAGAAATGCAAATCAAAACTACTCTAAGATTTCATCTCACTCCAGTCAGAATGGCAGTTATCAAGAATACAGACAACAATAAATGTTGGTAAGGTGGGGGAAAAGGCACACTCATACATTGCTGGTGGGACTGCAAATTGGTGCAACCAATATGGAAAGCAGTATGGAGATTCCTTAGAAAACCTAGAATGGAACCATCATTTGACCCAGCTATCCCACTCCTTGGTCTATACCCAAAGGACTTAAAATCAGCATAATATAGTAATACATCCACATCAATGTTTACAGCAGCTCAATTCACAATAGCTAAACTGTGGAAGCAACTTAGATGCCCTTCAATAGATGAATGGATAAAGAAACTGTGGTACATATATACCCAATGGAATATTACTCAGCATTAAAAGAGAATAAAATTATGGCATTTGCAGGTAAATGGATGGAGTTGGAGAATATCATGCTAAGCAAAGTAAGCCAATTCCCCCAAAACCAAAGGCTGGATATTCTCTCTGATAAGTGGGTGCTGATCCATAACAGGGGACGGAGCATGAGAAAAATGGAGGAACTTTGGGCAAGGGGATGGAGGGGTGAGGAGGGAATATGGGGGCAGGAAAGATGGTGGAATGAGATGGACATCATTACCCTAGGTACATGTATGCCTGCACTTATGGTCATACATGTGTACACATCGTGTACAACCAGAGAAATGAAAAGTGTGCTGCAGTTGTGTACAATGAATCAAAATGCATTCTGCTGTCATGTAGACCTAATTAAAATAAATAAATTTTAAAAAGAGGAGAGAGTAGAAGTGAACTGAGATCTTATACTCTTTTCTGAACATTGTTAGAACAACTATTTTAAAAACCTCTATATTTTAAAGTATAATGTAGTTGTGTGCCAAATCAGTGAAGAAAGGATTGTTTATTCAATAAAGATAATGGAAAAGTTGTTTAGCTAATTTTAAACAAATAAAATTAATTCTTTATTTATAGCATGTATAAAAAAATTAGGTGGAAAATCATGGCAGACAGTGTTGCCTTCCCAAAATTCATTCCCCTTTCTTTAATAAAAGAATTTGATTTTGTTCAGGGTGGCAATATGCTCAGAGGAAAATATCATTTCTTCAAGATTCCTTGCTCTAGTTGGCTACATGATATAGTTCTGGCCAATGAGAAATCTAACAAATAGGGTATCCAGGAAAGATACTGACTTCTCAGTAAAATAGATGGGTTCAGATGACATGCAGCTTTCATATTTTGCTTTCTTTTTCTTTTTAAATAAACTTCATAGGTGATGTGTATTGTAGCATTCATTTTGTGAGCATTAGGAAAAGCTTAATATTAAGGATAGTGGAACAGAAATGTGGAGTGAGCCTGGATTCTTGAAGACCTCAGAAGTCTACCCAAACAGCCCTGAACTTATTACCTCAGAAGAAGGTACCCCTATGTTTTTTAACTCTGGATTTTTTAGTGGTGCATTATAATTATAAATAATAGTGGATTTGTTGTTATATATTTGCATACAATATAACAATATAATTTGGTCAGTTTACTTCCCCTTTCCCTCCTTTTCTCAGGCCCCCTTCCATTCTTCTGCTGGTCTCCCTTCTATTTTCATGAGATCTCCTCCCATCTTTTTATTATTTTTTTTTTCCATTTTCCTCCTCTCTGACTACATTCGAGTCTTGACTTTTTGGTTTTGGCTTATTTTGCTTAATATAATGTTCTCAAGTTCTGTCCATTTCCCTGAAAATGATATTATTTCATTCTTCTTTATTGTCAAATAAAACTCCATTGTGTGTGTGTGTGTGTGTATCACATTTTATTCATCCATTAATCTATTGATGAAAACACCTAGGCTGGTTCAATAATTTGGCTATTGTGAGTTGTGCTTCTATAAACATGGGTATGCATGTATTGCTATAATATGATGATTTTAATTCTTAAGGATAAATACTGAGGTGTGGAATAGCTGGGTCCATATTTGGTGGTTCCATTTCTAGTCTCTTGAGGAACCTCCATGTGGATTTTCACAATAGTTGGTACTGATTTATAATCTTACCGACAGTGTAAAAGCATGGGACCCCTATTTGTTAAAGCACTATAAGTAGGGTTGGAATACAGCAGATTGCAGATTCTGACTGACACAAAAATAATTCAATTACAGGAAAAAGATAATACAGGGGGCTGGGGTTGTGGCCCAGCAGTAGCGCACTTGCCTAGCATGCATGAGGCACTGGGTTCGATTCTCAGCACCACATACAAATAAATAAAATAAAGGTCCATCAACAACTTAAAAAATATTTTTAAAAAGAATAATATAGGTGAATATTTACTAAATCCTTGGTTATAAAAGATCATTCTAATATAAAAGTAAAAAAATATGTAAAGTCATTGAATATTTGATCTTACAAAAAGTAAAACTCCTATATGTCAAAACAATAGTATAATAATATCAGTATAAAGGGAAAATAAACAATAAACTAAAAAACCAGCTTTCTGAGACACTTCAAGAAAATTCTCCTCAAGTCTTATTGGTCTGAAATGGCCTAAATCCTCAATATGTTAAGAGTTTTTACAAATAAAACATAAAAATCTATATTTTTAGAAAATTAGTCCAACTCCATCTCAGTTATGAGAATTGT